TTTTTTTGTTAACAATCTGAGTATTCGTATTTGTTGAAAAAGTATGATTGTCTAACCGTTAGGCGAGCTGAATATTAGACTTATTAATTTGATTCCGTTTATTTATTTGTTAACGCTGTCTAATCTACTTTCTTTCTTGTACATATTTATTTATTTTATATATTGTGATCTTGAATTAATTTGTGGTGCAGTTCAAACAGTGCAGTAGGACATGTGAATCAATGTTCTGTGATGGTAAACTTGTCACCCCTCTCTTTTGATCTATTCAATAAATTATTAAAATTTGGTAGAAATAATAAAAATAGAAAAAAAAAAAACCACTTATATATAGTTATTTGATGAAATAATTGAAATTTTGGTATGATTAATTAAATAATTTATTTGGATTATGTAATAATTAATTAATATTTGCAGCTCCACCATTTTTGAGATATGGGAAATATTGTGGGCTGTTGTACAGTGGGTGCCCTGGGGAGCAGCCCTGTGATCGCCTGGACGCCTGCTGTATGCATCATGATCAGTGCATAGCTAAAATGGGAAGTAAGTTTTCTTTTCTTTTTTTAAATTAGATATTATAACTATTATGATCAGGGAAATGCTAAGGTCCCGTTCGTCGGAGTTTATAACCGTTAGATCGTCATGTAACCGTAAAGATAGTTGATCTAACGGTTACGAACCCGACGTAGTAGTTTCGTAACGGGACCTTAGTATTTCCCTTCAGATTAATTTGGTTGCTTTATTAGTTAAACTTACATAAATTGTTGTTTTTATTAAATATATGTATTTTTCATTAAGCCAAAGCAACTACAATTAAGAAAAAAAATCTCATATTATAATAAGTATACAATCATGCATTTAGGGAAATTAAAATTTGGGGGGGAAAAAAAACAAGAGCTGGTAAAACGTGTGGGTCACATGCAACTCTTAAAAAAGAAATTAAAATAACTCAAGATGGTGAGAAAATGACAAAGAACGGCCAATCAGTGCCTCGTAAACTGACACTTGCTACGGTTCCGTTACGTAACCATTCCGTCGAAATCTCTATCCGTTAGATCAACTATATCCAAAATGATTACAAATTCCGACGAAATGATTCCGTAACGAGACCGTAACATTTCCCATTATTATAACCAGTAAGGTGCAATGTAAGTTTCATAAAAAAATAAATTATTATTATTATTATTATAACTTGTATAATGTTTGGTGTTTTAAAATATATTAATTAAGCTACTGATATAAGAAAATATTAAGTAATAGAGCAATTGTGTGCATTAAGCTACTAATATAAGAAAATATACTAATTAGTAATTTATATATTGTAATGTGTTGGGCAGATGATTATTTGAGCCAGAAGTGCAATAAGGAATTTCTTGGGTGTGTGGAGGCGTACATGAGATCAGGTGCACCCTCGTTCGAAGGCAACACTTGCGAAGTTGGTGAAGTTGTCAAATCCATTAGCCATGCAATGAGAGCTGCCATTGTTGCTGGAAAAGTTTTTGGCAAACCATAAAATTGATTAAAAAAAATAAAAAATGGGTGTATTTTCTTTTATTTCCTTTAGATTTTCCTAAGCTTGTTCTTTACTTGTTTTCTTCACTGTCAACGAATTGAACGTTCGTGATCAATCTTTATTAATCGAGTCGAATGAACATAAAAGTAGGCTCGTTTAATAAGCGAACGATCACGAGTTCGTTTACGAACGTTCGATAATGTTCACGAATATTAATTTAATATAATTTTGATTTTAGTATATTTACATGATTTTTAATAATTTTTTTTACTATATAAATATATATTATAATTTTATTTTTTAATTACTTTTGAGTTCGAACGAATAAATTTTACGTTAACCAAACATATTCAAAAAGTTATTTCCTAAATTATTCGAACACGAACGAATCCAAATTTTGACGAACAATTAAACGAACGAATTCAACACAAATTGTTGCTCGAAAGATAAACAACCAAACACGAACAAACACGAGCTTGAAATGCTCAAGCTCAGCATTTCAATGTACCACTAAGTACTAGCATAGTACAATATACATGCACCGTGATAAATATTGTGATAATATTAGTAAATAGTCTTATGATTTTGTGTAAGTGTAAAAAATAGTCATTTTGTTATGTGAAATGACCAAAATAACATATCCTTTCTTTTTCACTCAAAAACGGTTTCATAACTCTTAAATAATTTCTAGTAACAAAATAACATATCCTTTCTCTTTTCACTCAAAACCGTTTCTATAATTCCTAAAAAAAAAAATTAATTCTTGTATTTCATAAATGATTTCTAGTGTTTTCTCCAACATTTAAATAATATCATAATTTATATAATTATTTTTTAAAGATTTTTAGAAATGATTTCTAGAACACAAAAAACATTGTCTTGAATTTGAAATTTGATTTGGTGTCAAATATTATACATTATGTTTTATTAAATATGTGTGTAAAGATAATTGGATCATCGACTATTATTAATACTCCCACAAAAATTGGTTATATTTCATCTTTCATTACTGCAACACTCATATATTACATGGGTGCTTGTTAAAAAATTATTCTTAAATTTTAAAATTAGTCAGAAAAATTATTTTAATTTTTATTAACTTTTTTTTACAAGAATATGTATTATTATATATTTTAGAATGATACTTGTTATTTGTGGGACTTACATATATATGTGTTACATTATAGTAATTTTTATAACTTATATCATATAACTACTTGAAATATAAATATATTGATAATAATTTTATTTTTCTATTAATATTAAAAAATAATGTTATTATTATTATAAAGATAAATATTATTAATTTTTTTATACATACAATATAAATGTTAAATCGAAGCCCATCAAGAGATGATTAATTTGATATATTATATATGTAAAACTGATAAAAAAAATAGTTATTAACTTTTAAAGTACATTTACAATTCATTGGTTATAATGAGAAATGATATCAAAATGCAATTAATACATATAACATGCCAGCGAGTGCCTGGTGCGCAACCCTTACCCGTGAGTTCCTGTTCTCGCGCCCGCAAAAGCCTCTTGCCCGCGAGTTCCCCAGCGCGCCCTGCGTCCGCGAACTGTCAAGTCGCGCCCGAGAAATCCTGTTGCGCCGCGAGTTCCTCCCATGTGCGCCCATGCTCGCAAATTTCACGCCGCGCCCGTGGAAGCTGTCGATAGCCTGCGAGTCCTCCTGCTGCCCGCGAGTTTTGCTCGAGAAATTTCACCTCTTGCTCGCGAGTTCAACCTAACTCGCGAATGTTATTATTTAATGTGTGTGTTTAGTGCATGGTTTTGGTACCTAGTATGAATATGTTTCTTCCTTTGTATTTTGGAAATCCATCTTTCATTTTTTCTACTTTCCCGCATTGGGAAAATTTTTATTTTTCTATTTTGCTCTCTATTTCTCTCCTTGGAGATTTATGTCATCATTTTCCGGTGACTTTTTCGGTGTTCTCGTTTTTGTCCAAGTTCTGAACTTTTGAATCTGATTTTCATCTACTACGCAATAGAAGATTGAGTATTTACTTTTAAAGCTCATTACTTCAATTTTTGCCTCATTTGTACTTATTATGCTTATCAAGGTGAATGTGAGTATTGTTGGATGATGGATGGAAAGTTTGGACTTGATCATTTTTATTGCTTGCTTGAGTGATTTTAGGGGTTAATTGTTTGCCTATCTAGATTAAGAGTTGAGACTCTATTTAGAGTTTAATCACTTAGGGTTAGAAGGTTATGGTCAATTACCTAGTGCTTATTGCTTGCATATTTATCTTTGTTATTTGTTTTCTTTTTTGTGTCGATGGCATAAAGACTCCGGTAGTTTAATTTTTATATTTGATCGTTGATTGCAATCGCTCGTAATTCTTCATTTTTTTAGTGTTAATTCAACCCCGAACTCATCGATTAGAATGTCTAGGTCTTTATTTTTCTATTTTGTGTACTTTGGACAATCGAGTAGTAGATAAAGCTCCGAATGACCTTCCTTAGAGAACGACTCGAGGTCAGGTAGCTCGGTTACCACCTACCCCACAAAAATAATACGAACATCAAACTTTTAGATCCGTTGCGCATAGGTTTACGTTTGCTATTGAATTTGTAATTTTGTACATAACGAGATCCTCATAGATCCCAACAATTACATTCCCCCTATTTGAAATTCACTAGTACAGAGTCCGTGCGATGCACGAGGTTCACAAGTTTAAGGTCATTTGTCCAGCCTTATAATTATATAAATGAATAAAAAAAAATGTGTGGGATATATATAGTACGTGATCTGTGCGAGGCACGAGATATATTTATTTGAGGATTATTATACTATAAGATGCAATATTCAATAAAAGTTTTACAATACACGAAAATAAATATAAATAATGTAAATATCTAAATACATACACGATATGTAGAATAAATAAGCCAAATTACAAATCTGAAAATATAATTAAAAAAATAAAAAAATATATTTCACTAAACATGTACAAAAGTATCTAAATACATACATGAAAATATATATATATATATATATATATATATATATATATATATATACGTTTTAAATTTCGAAATTAAAACAAAAATTCAAATAATCTGGCTTACAGTTTTATCATGCAGAACCAACTCGAGATATGATTTGTATGTGTTGTCCTAATCCTGGAAAAACATTCTCACAATTCGAACTTTGATAGATCTATTAGACCTATTGACTTGTTTGATTAACCCAAATCCCTGATTCATTGTTTTGAATAAAAGACTGATTGAGATATTTTTTGTTGGCAGGAGGTTGACAGTGAGAAACATGATGGCTCGATATTTTGAGATTTGTAATTTATAATGGGTAGAGTAGATATATATTCATGTTAATATTTTTATTAGAAAATCTGAATCTCAATATACAGAAATCGACTTGAACAAAATTAGAACAGATTTCCATACAATTAGATAATAAAATAGATAATAAATAAAGCTTTTTTTATTTTAGTAAAAAATTTATGTACTTTTTTTTTACTTATCGGATGTTATGGGGTTTTTTTGTTAAACCGAGTTTATGGGATATGATACAAATACAATTAGAGGATTGAACAAAATCAGAATAGATTTCCATACAATTAGATAATAAGAAGGAATTAGATAAGGAAAAGAAGTAATTAGATAAGGAATTTTGAATCTACCTTTTTTTAGTATAGAAGACTTTACGTACAAATTTTGACTTCACCGATTTTATGGAATTTGTTTTGACAAAACTGATGTTAATATGAAATAGACAAATAAATAAAGTATTTTTTATTTTTAGTGAAGATTTTACGTCTTTTTTTTACTTATCATATGTTATGAGATATTTTTTTAAAACTGATTTTATAGGATATAAGACAAATAAATAAATATTAAATAAAATTCTGGATAGAAATAGCAATACATTAATTACGTTGACTTTTCAACCTACTAAATTTGGTAAATAGAATACCTTATTATATAAGTATAGATTGCACGTCGTCTTTGTCTACTTCTCGCAGGTGGAGGGAAGAATGTCGAGCTTAGTTGTCGAAACACTATCACTACAAAAGAAATTGTTATATTCCAATGGAAAATCCTACGGTAATATATTCCAATAGAAATTCTAACGAATATTCCAATTGTATAGCTTCCGTTGTAATGATTCCAACAAAAATATTATGATGTATGAGGTATTCATTGGAATTTTAGGGAATTTGATGATTCTAACGACTATTTTTCCAACGGTATTTCACCGTAGTAATTTCTGTTGGAATATGTTTGGTATTTTTTATTCCACACCCGTTGAAAAATTTATCGTTGGAATCGTCAAAATCCAACGGAAATTCGAATAAAAATTTATTCCAACGAAATATTTTTGTTTGAATTTTTGTTGACATCCATTAAAAAATTTCAACGTAAATGATAGCATTGCAATATCCATTAAAATTCTATTGAAATATATTTCTTCTTAAAATTTTTATTAGAATTTTATCATTTTCTTGTTGTGTTTTGCGCACTTACCCCAACATTTTTAAGTAATGTGTGTTTATGTAATGGCTGATATGGTATACCATCTTGAAGGGTTTGATGTGGTATCAAGAGATGGGCTTGATGAAAAAAAAAAACAAGAGATGGGCTTGATGAAAAAAAACAAGAGATGGGCTTGATGGAAANNAAAAAAAAAAAAAAAAAAAAAAAATCTGTCACCCAATTTAACATGTTAAAATTGTAAGTTTATTAACAGTTAATATTATTATATATTATCAATAATGGCCCACCAAACACAACCTAAGAGAATCTATGCATTGGGCTTTATTAAAAAAAATTATATGTCACTTAGAAAATAGACTTAGTTTAAAAAATTATATTTTTCAATACAAGTGTAAATAGAAAGAGACCGAGTGTGCTCTTAAATTTATTTAGACCATTAGAGATTTGATTTCTTTGCATTTGAGTGAATTTTGTTAATTTTATATCGTTTTATACATGTCATCCAAGATTGTAGTTTATTTATACATGCTACATAATCAAAACTAGACTCAATATGCACTGCAGATTAAATAAATTATCCATCAAACATGTTATATGATATATTGTATGAGCTTTAAAATCTTATTATAATAAGAAACATCGATTCTTATGTGTGACGATCATAATATTAAATAAAAAAAAATAATACAATTTTTAAAAATATTTAAAACATCAAATAAACTTTTTACTGTTATTTTAAGTATAATTTATAGACTAATGTAATTGGGAAAAAAAAATAAAATTATGATGACACGTATAGAAAATCAATAAAAATTTGTGTATCACCCCAAATTTAACAATTTTAATAATTTAGTTTAACGTGTTTAAATTCGACGAAGACCAAACAATTAACTGTTTATTTAAATACGTGAAAAAAAAAAAAAAGGACCTACTCCAAAGTCCAAACCCTAATTATAGTAGTAACTGATTCCCGTAATATTAATGCTTGGCCACCACGCAATTTTTTTGCCTCTATATATCGCTACCAACCTTCATCCCATCAATTCACAAAAACAAAAACAAAAAAAAAATGTCAAGCCGCCTCGCCTCTGTCGCCACCGCGCCCTCAGTCCCTTCTCAATCAAAATCCCTCTCTCTTCCCGCCGCCGCCGCCATTCCCCTTACCGGGCCACCCGAAATCTACATTAAACCCCTCGCCGCTCCCGCCCCCGAACCCGAACCGGTCATCGCCGCCGCCCCCGGCGGCGGCCCACCCATGGGCCTGACCAAGTGCCATTCTCCGACCTTCCTCTCGACCGGAAACCCCTGCCTCGACTTCTTCTTCCACGTCGTCCCCGACACGCCGCCGGAGGCTCTCACCCGCCGACTTCAGCTCGCCTGGGACCACGACCCGCTCAAGGCCCTCAAACTCATCTGCAATTTACGAGGCACAAAAGGCACCGGCAAAGCCGACGAGGAAGGTGGCTACCGGGCCGTCCTCTGGCTCCACGAGAACCACCCCAGGACCCTCGCCCTCAATTTGGACAAATTCGCCGGGTTCGGATCCTCCAAGGATCTGCCCGAGATCCTCTACCAGATTCTCGAAGGCCCCGACTCCCGGAAGGTGTCTCAACGGGATCGGGACCTCACGAAACAGATGAGATTCACTAAAAGGCGCCGCTTCAATTATAACCGATACAATGGCACGCCAATGGATGAAGACGAGCCTGAGTCTGAGCCCGAGCCCGAGTCCGAGCCCACTGGAAGAAATGAGTCGGAAGCAGAAGCAGACAAGAAGCGTAAGTCGCCAATTGATGAAGACGAGCCTGAGCCCGAGTCCAAGCCAGAGTCTGAGCCCACTGGAAAAAACGAGCCGGAAGCGGAAGCAGACAAGAAGAGTAAGTCGAACAAAAGACGGCTGAGGTGGAAGGCGAAGACGCTCGAGTGGGCCAAACAGAGAAAAGAGGCCAAGAGGATCAAGCGGGCTAGAAGGGTTGTTGAACGATTCAACACCTATCCCGACTTCAAATTCCTCCACGATCGGGTGTCCGATTATTTTGCCGATCGGCTACGATCCGACCTGGAGATGCTGAGGCGAGGGGAGCTCTCGCGAATCAGCCCAACCGCAAAGTGGTGCCCGTCTCTCGACTCGTCTCACGACAAAGTTACCCTCCTGTGTGAGACGATTGGAAAACGGATTTTCTCGAGGGATGAGTGCCCGGAATACGAGGGAGTCGAGGAGCCGCACTACGCGTACCGTGTTAGGGACCGTCTGCGAAAAGAGGTGCTCGGCCCACTTCGCAGAGCCCTCAATCTACCCGAGCTGCACATTGGGGCCAATGATTGGGGCTCGATCGATTACGAGCTTTTGGGGCCCGACGAGGTGAGGCTGCATGAGCGGGAATTCTTGAAGCACGACAAGGAGAGGTTCTGCAAGTACCTCGCCAAGTTGCGGAAAGGCGAGGCGAAGATTGGTGCAGGGGATTGGTTCCCTCACAAGAATCTTGCCCGCGGCGGCCGCCAGGTGGCGGAGTTTCAGTGGTTGAGTATGGTTGATGATATGGCGAAGAAGGGGAAGCTGAGAAACTGCCTGGCGATCTGCGATGTTTCGAGTATGAATGGGAAGACGGTGAAGGCGGCGGCCGCGCTTGGGTTGTTGGTTTCGGAATTGAGTGAAGAGCCATGGAAAGGGAAGGTGATCACATTTGCCGATAATCCCGAGCTTCGATCGGTTGAGGGGCTCAGTAGTATAAACAAGAAGGCGAGGTTCGTCAAGGGACTAATGACGTTTGGTCAAAAGGACCTCCAGAAGGTTTTTGATCTGCTGCTGAAGGTGGCGGTGGACGGTGGACTGAAGCCGGAGAAGATGATCAAGCGGCTGTTTGTGTTTAGCGACATGGAATTTAGCAAGGCGTCGGAGAATGAGATGGAGACGGATGATGAGGCGATTGACATGGAACTTAGCAAGGCGTCGGAGAATGAGATGGAGACGGATTACCAGGCGATTTTGAGGAAGTTTAGGGAGAAAGGGTATGGTGATTGTGTGCCAGAGATTGTGTTTTGGAATGTGAAGGACTCGAAGGCCACTCCGGTGGCGGCAGGCCAGGCGGGCGTGGCGCTGGTGAGCGGGCATTCGAGGAATTTGATGAAGATGTTTGTTGGGGAAAGTGTGGCTGGGGACATGAATCCGGTGGGGGTTATGGATTTGGCGATTGCAGGGGAGGAATATGAAGGCTTGGTTGTGCACGATTGAGTTCTTTTTGTTTGAGGTTTTTAGGATATTGAATGAATGATGTTTTCAGTATATTAGATTAGACTATAATTAATGGGATTATCAGTAAAGAGTGCAAATAATTTTTTATCATTTATTTGTTTATATTTTTTTTTTTCTCCTCAACAATATTATTCACACAATTAAAAAAATATATATTAGTTGTTAATATATATTTTTCGAAAAGAATTCACGATTCAACCACTCAAATTGGATTGGTTCGATTTTATGCTCGCACTTGGTTTTATGAGGGTGTGGTTTATTTGTTGGACTAATTAGTTCGATCGTGATATAAAAAGAATAGTCAGATTCCTTGAAGGTCGGACTCTGACGAAACATTAAATGCAGACAAAACATGTCAGAAACCTTTGCGAACAAACAATCGACTGACATGGGACTCACCGTGCGGTTCTGCAACTGGTAACTATACAAGTAACATGTCAACCTTGAAGAGTATGTTCGTGGATTTTATAGTATAAATACTCCTACAGAAAAAGGGGAAACAACTTTTGCCATTAGTTTACAATATTCTCAATCGAACTCTGAAATATAAACACCCAGGGTCCGAGCTATTTCATATATAACGAAACGAGGGAATCCCACCTTGCTCGACTGAATTTCCCGTGTTCATATTTCCTTATGGCATAGTTGCAGATTTGAGTCGAGAATCATGTTATAATCCGTACAAAATTTGACATCGAATCATCGTTTAACCGTAGGGGATTTCCCTAAACCGTTGTTGCATAAAATGCATAAGGAAATAAATCAGAATAAAAAGGTATGGGAAAGAATATTGTCATGCTTGAAATGCTCAGTGTGTACCAGGTTGAAGGATTGTATTAATTCCCACTGAAACGTGCAGAGGAGCACTGAGAAATCTATTTGATAAACTGCTCCAGCAAATTAAATGGATATGTTATGGTTACTATCGCATATGTTTAATTATGGTTATTATCAATGTGAAATGATTTATACATCGCAAAATAACTAATAAAGATGGCTATTATTTTTTTTATTCAATTACTCCAGTGATTTTCAACCTGTATCGGCCCGGAGTCGGAACCGGTTTGGGTGGGCTATTCGGAACGGGCAACAAAGGACCCGATCAAAACTCGGCCTTGACCCGGTTGACTCGGGGCATTGACCCGGCTGGATCAACTCAGTTGACCCGATCTTTATATATTTTTTTTATTATTTTTTATTTTTTAAATAATTTTTTAAAAAATAAAACTTTGTATATATATATATGGTAATATTTGTTATGAAATACATATTATTAACATTTTAATGTACAAAATTTATATATAAAATATTTAATTTTGTTACTTTTATGTATATTTATATGTCAAAATCCTCTATATATAATTTAAAAAAAAAATCTAAAATTAATTATCTAATTCAGCAATTGACCCGATGACACAGAGACCTGCCGGGTCGATTCTGGACCGAGTTTAAAAACTATGAATTACTCTACCAATTATCGCATAATATAACTAAGAAAGATGTGTTTAAAGAAAAAAATAATTTTGTTTTATTTATTTTCTCTACCAATTATCGCATAATATAACTTAAGACTTGCTTGTAAGTTAATTAATATATTATCTTCCTAATATGTTTATGCTAATATAAATTTATTTTAATATATATATTTATTTTTTGACTAGGTAAAATAACAGTTTACTTATTATTGTCCATCATATAATATTCATAATTATTTTATTACAATTAATATAACATGTTTTTTAGAATTTAATATTTTTTTATAATAAATAAACAAATAAAAAATATTCAATAATCAAGAGATTTTTCTAACTTACATCCTAAAGCTTATTATCTTATTTAGCATATTATCCAATGCAAATATATTTTACATTAACTCATTATAGAAAGAAAACAAAATAAAAAGTAATGATTAAAAAAATAGTCATGGTTGATAATATTATACAAACTAGTATTCGACAATGTGCATCTGTACAGTTGTCAATAAAATATTATAAGTTATTTGTATGCATATACTATTAAAATTATCAATTAGATAATGGTATTATATTTTAAATACAGACTATTATAAGTTATATTTATCCCTATAATATTAAAATTATATGTCAGATAATGATTATTTCTTATTGCATAAAATGTAATAAATAATACAATTTTTTCATTTTTTAATTTTGAGTGATCATGAATAATTAATTAGCTAAAAAATGTTACAATTATTATAACAATTGTTTATGCTATTTTAAGGAATTTTACTATAACATTAAAACAAATTAATTTATTTAAAAAACAATCATTTAATCAGATAAAAAATATAATACTGATTTTAGAACAAATAACTAGAACAAAATGTCATTACAATATAATTTTTCATGCTTGTGTAACTCTCATATATCATTTAGTATAAAATATATTTGCAAATTCTATTAATAACTATTATATAATACAACAAAAAAATATAATTAATACCCAGTTAATATAAAAAGTAACAATTTTTATCTTAATTAACCTAAAAAGTGCAAGAAAATATTTTATCATTGATGAGATAGTGTGGATGATAATAATAATAATAATAATAATAATAATAATAATAATAACAATAATAATAATAATAATAATAATGAACTATAACAGTTATTGGAGGAAAAATATCACCTACGTAAAATTTATTAGGTTTTATTTAATGATTTGCCAACAATTATATATATATATATATATATATATATATATAAGATTGTACGAATAAATGATGAGATGACAACATATACTCCATGAATTGCAGTAAATAATATTAATTATTAATTTTAGTACTTAAATAATTTTGTATCACCATAAATAATTTTAATATAATTTGATAATAGTTTTATTATTATTTTTTAATTTTAATTGTTTTTCAATAGAGGTTACAAAAAAATAAAAATAAATAAATAAAGGATGAAAATGCTTTGAAAAATCAAGAAGACGTTACTATATGTAATAAAAAATTAAGAATGATATAAAATATAATAACAATTAGTAATAACCATAAAAATATAACTATATTGATAAAGTAATAAAAACCCACCATATTGAGCTGAAAATGCTTTTGGGCTGTAAAATATTGGAGATTTTATTAAATGCTCTGCAGCAATTATATATATATATATAAACCACATGTTGAAATTTTAAATAGTGGTTAATATATTTAAATTTTATTGGTCATTAGTAATATCATTTAATGTATATGATCTTTATCTCTTGAATAATGAATTATATTAATTTGAAGAATATTTATTTTATATAATTAAATAAATCTTAAGAAATTTTATTGACTAAATTTGATTCACCAACTTGATTGGGCGCCACGTCACGTTTTTAAATAGAGTGCAGATAAAAAAATGAACAAAAATTGGTTAAATTAGCGGATAAAAAATGGACAAAAAATGGTTAAATCAACAAATTATTGGACTTAATTTGAAAATGGGCAGTGAGGGTGAAAAAATAGACTTTGGCCAAATTAATGAACTAATTTTGAATTTTTGTATGTGGCATGTATGTCCACATTAGATTTTTTAATTCCAGTTAATAAAGATTGATCCGAAGCATCGATGGTCAGTTTTTGACTTTTATGTATTGTTTTGTAAAGAAGTCAAATGTCATGATATTCTCCGTCAAGGTTCAAGAATCGTAATATTTTAGCAGTTTGGTCTGTAAGGATAATATTTAGTTCTTCCTAATCCTACATGAGATTGTTGGCAAAAATTCAAAATTGGTCCTATAATTTGGCCACTGTCCAATTTTCCACCTCAATATTGAACACTTTCAAACTCAATCTAATTATTTTGACAATTTAATCAAATTTGCTCCTTTTTTTATCCGAACCCTAGATAAAAACGTGATGTGACATTTTTAAATATGAGATGGCATGATTGTGTATTACGTGGCGGGATTATGAAAAATACTTCCAACTTAAATGATCCACGTCAGTTCTGCAATTTGAATTTTTAAAATGAGCCCTGCAATTTGTTTTCACCCATTCCCCTTTGCCTGTCGTCGCTGCCGTTCGCCGGCCACCGACCAACCACCGCATATCGGAATTTTCTTTATATCATCTTGAAGATTTTCCCGTCCTTATCTCATCTCCTAAAATTTCAAATGAAAATTTCATCAATAAGGCTGCCAATTACTCTGGTCAAAGCTTGTAGATGTTGAAATTTTTTGTCACAATTTGGTTTCTTCTTCAATTTTCCGACGATTCACGGTGACCCACCGAAATCTGAGGGCACCTCTGGACTCCTTAGTCTGCCGCACACCCGATGATGTCCACCATCTACAGAACCGACTAATCCTCCGGCGACCTGTTTTTTCCGAGGTAGCGAAGGCGAGGGGGAGGTGGAGGTATTAATGCTGGTTTAATGGTGACTTGTTCCTGTTGGATGGACTGTTACACAAGCAATGGTGTTGGAACTCTGATCGGTTGATTCTTTTTGCTGCTGGTTGAATAGTATTGTTGTTGCTGGTTTTTTTTTTTTCTTTGTTGTTACACAAGCAATGGTGTCGCCACGTCACGTCTTTATCCAGGGTCTGGATAAAAAATGACCAAATTTGATTAAATTGTCAAATTATTGGACCGAGTTTGAAAGTGGTCAATATCGGGGTGGAAAATTGGACAATAGCCAAATTATAGGACCAATTTTGAATTTTTGCTTGAGATTGTTAGTTAGGTGTCAACTAAAACAAATTTTCAATGAGTCGTGTACAATATTATCTAACATATAACTTTTTACTTACGGTTAATTTTACATTGTAATATTCAGAATTATGAACATAACAAACTTGAAAATTTATTATTGTGACACGAATGAAAATTTAGTATACCGGTAGTATCCAACTGCTATAGTCCTGTTACGGAATCCTTCCGTTCGGATTTTTAACCGCTAGATACACTTGCACGATTAAAAATTCCAACAAAATAATTCTGTAACGGGAGTATAATCTTACCCGTAATTTATATCACTATCACTTGTATTAAGAATTATTGATTATTTCACAAACTAAATTCTTACCCCACCAACATCCAATTTCGTCCATAAATTATAAGAACTATTAACATTTCACAAACTAGAATTTGATCCAACAATATCCAATTTCATTCATAAATGACTTTTGCATGTGTTATCCATATGTAACGGTTTAGTAGAATCAATTATTTTGAAGAATATTTTTTTTTTTTTTGAGAAAAATTAAAAAGGAAAAGAGAGAGAAACAGAAATATCGGTTTTTGGATATTTATTTTATTTAAAAACCCTTTGCTTGATCTCCAAGTTAAACCCTCCCCTTAATAATCGTTTCCCTGAATCTCGTCTTCCTCATTTTCGAATCTTTTACCATCTTTCAGTTACAGAGCTCCTCTCCACCAAGGCCATGGCTTCCAAATGCTTCACAACCCTCCACACCGCCGTCATTTTCCCCCCATTCTGCCACGTCAAACCGGTCCGCTACTTGTCCGCCATGGCCGCCTCATCGACGCCCGCCTCCCTAACTGGCCCGCCCCCGATCAACCAAAAACCCCCCTCCCCGCCGTCCCCCGTCACCCTCATCGGCCCGGCCGAGATCTACCGAACATCCGCCTCCCCTCCTCCTCCCGCCAAACCCAAGAAGACGGACCCATTTATGGACCTCATGGTGGCGAACTACAACAACCCCCCACCACCGATGATGGGCCTGACGGAGAACAACTCTCCGACATTCCTGTCCTCCGGCAACCACTGCCTTGATTTCTTCTTCCACGTCGTCCCCGACACCCCGCGGGAGACAGTCACCAAGCGCCTGGAGCTTGCCTGGAAGGAGGACCCCCTGACCGCTCTGAAACTCGTCTTCAACCTCAGGGGCGTGCGGGGCACCGGTAAATCCGACCGGGAGGGCGGCTATGCCTCCGCCCTCTGGCTCCACGAGAACCACCCCAAAACCCTGGCCGGCAACGTGGGCCCCCTTGCCGAATTCGGCTACTTCAAGGACCTGCTGGAGATCCTGTTCCGGATCCTCGAGGGCCCCGATGCTCGGGACCGGCTGAACGAGGCGCACCAGCAGTGGAAGTACAGGCAAGCGCAAAAGGAGATGAAGAAACAGTTCAAAGGACACAAACCACCCGCCCGAGCCTATTCCCCAAGACCCACCTATTACCCGAGACCCACCTATTCCCCGAGACCCACCATTAGCGGCTTGAAGCATAGTAAGAGAGGACCAAAATTGAGCCCCAAAGAGATGAGAATCGAGCGTGCCAAACGCGCGGTCGAGAAGTACAACACCGACCCCAAGTACCAGTTCCTGCACGACCGCGTGTCCGATTATTTCGCCAAGTGCCTCCGGTCAGACATGGAGATACTCAACTCCAGTGACCAACCGAAGAGACTCAGCTTGGCCGCCAAATGGTGTCCGTCCCTGTATGCCTTCTACGATAAATTCACCCTAGTGTGCGAAACAATCGGGAAAAAGGTTTTCCCGAGGGCCGAGTACCCGGAATACGAAGGTTTGGGGGAGATCCAATACGCGTGTCGTGTTAGGAACCGCCTTAGAAAGCATGTGCTGGTCCCTCTGCGTAAAGCCCTGGAGCTGCCGGAGGTCCACATCGGGGCCGGCAACTGGGGCTCCATCAAATACAACCGGGTGGCTTCCCTTGCCATGAAAAGGTACAAGAGACTATTCTTTGAGCACGACGAGGAGAGGTTCAAAGGGTTCCTCGAGAAAGTGAAAAAGGGGGAGGCGAAGATTACCGCCGGAGCCCTGCTGCCCCACCAGATAATCTCGGGATTGTATGACGGTGAGTCTGATGGCGGCGAGGTGGCAGAGCTTCAGTGGAGGAGGATGGTGGATGACGTGGCGAAGCAAGGGAAGTTGAGTAATTGCCTGGCGGTTTGCGACGTGTCGGGGAGTATGACTGGGATTCCGATGGACGTCTCGGTGGCACTGGGATTATTGGTCTCGGAGATTAGCGAGGAGCCGTGGAAGGGAAAGGTCATCACTTTCAGCGAGAATCCCCAGCTTCATGAAGTCAAGGGAGAAAGCTTGAAGGAGAAGGTTGAGAGTGTGCAGAGGATGGATTGGATGATGAACACCAACTTCCAGAAGGTTTTCGATTTGCTGCTTTCGGTGGCTGTGGAAGGAAAACTGAAGCCGGAGAATATGATAAAGAGGCTGTTTGTTTTCAGTGATATGGAGTTTGACCAGGCGTCACTGAACCCGTGGGAGACTGATTACCAAGCAATTGTGAGGAAGTTTGGGGAGAAGGGGTATGGTGATTGTGTGCCGGAGATTGTGTTTTGGAATCTGAGGGACTCGAGGGCCACGCCAGTGCCTGCCCACCAGTCGGGAGTGGCGCTCGTTAGCGGGTTTTCGCAGAATCTGATGCAGGTGTTTATGAAGGAGGGAGGGGTTATCAGTCCCCTGGCAGCTATGGAGTTGGCGATTTCGGGCGAGGAGTATGATCAGCTGGTCGTGTTGGATTGATTGATTTTCGACTGTCTTTGGTGAAGTTTTTTTTAGTATGAAGTAGGGACCATAATGAATAATGTGTATAAACATCTCTCTCTCTCTCTCTCTCTCTCTCTCTCTCTCTCTCTCGGTATTGTGGTTGCCATGAGTAGTGTTCGTGTTTGCGATCCTTCTTGTTGGCTGTTATCGTATGCTATCGTTGTGTGTAGTACAATGGTGTCTGTCTCAAGAGCTTTTTTCACTTGGTGCAATTGAGGGATTGATGTTTTAAATTGTTTTTGTGAGTTTGGGTAATGATTTCTTCGCGAATTTTCATGTACATAACTGTGATTTGGAAAAAAAAAATGGAATTTTAGGATGGGCAAATCTTATTTGCATTAATATAAAGTTTATGTCAATTTATTCCGTTTGAAATCTCTTCAAACCGAAAAAATAATCATTGACCGTTTGACTTTCTCCAAACTGAACCGAACCGAAAAAGTAACTAGTACGATTTTGGAGATTTTACAAATATCCATACCGACCGATTCTGGAGATTTTTTTTTTTTTTTTGGCACAACAACAAATAACGAAGGTACCTTAAACTAAATCAATGCTTCAAAACGATGATGACATTGATAAAGATCGAATGGACATATACTGGCCAACATAATCCTTGAAGAACTCTTTGTCTGTCATATCACAAATTGATCCGAGAGAAGGCCACTTGTTGATCAGGCCCTTGCTCTCCAAAATCCCAAGAATCTCAAACCGTGGCTTGCACCGCCTCTCAATGCTGTGCACGAGCAGCCTCGGATATTTAGCAATCGACGAGGCCTCATATTTTCCAGTCCCCAGTACAACCTGTTTGACCATCCTCATCTTATCCTCAGATGAACAAAAAACATTGGGGTAATGCTTCAAAGCCCTAACTATGTCATCCTCTGAGAATTCCAGAATTTCCCGAAAAGCCTGCAGCTTGCGTTCCCAAGCCCCATCCGGCATCGAGCAAATTACCCCAACAGCATACACGGACATTTTCGAACTCCAAACGATATCCATTTGATCCACGATTTCCAAGCATCTGCTTAGAGCTTCTGGCTTGAAGAGTATGACCCGCGGCATATAAGTGATAAGCCTGGCGACCTGGTCCCTGGTCATGCCATGGCTCATCAGGTTCTGGACATTGGGCAAAGTGATATTTTCAAGATCCCCCATAAGCAGCCACCCGGATTGCTTCAAAGCTCGGGTCACCTTCTCAGTCGAACCCAACAGGTCCTTTAGCCAGGACAATGCTGGGACAAGCTTCTTTTTCAGGCTGGCGTGCAGGATCGTTGGCTCTCTCGAGATTATGACAGCAATGTCGTCAGATGGTAGGCCAAAATCCTGGAAAATCTTGATCTTGGGCTTGATAATTTTCTCGACATCGGCCGCGAGCAGCTGGGGCCGGATTAACAAGGTTCTCTCCAGCTGGGCTTTTGTGAACCCGATCTCCACGAAAAAGGAGAGCACCGACTCGTATTTTCCGGGGTGATTCAAAGGGGATAAAAACGAGGCGGCGCGTGAAGCCACCTCAGGGGAAAACTGGTGTTTGTGCGTCAAGAACTCGAAAAATGAAGGTGAGGTAGAAGGTTTTGTCCCAATAGCGGTGGAGAGATGTGCGATCAAGAGAGATAAACTGCCATTAGAAATCGTTGGGGATAACAAATTCTCCGAGAAGAAAGAGGTGAGATTTCTGCGCAGAAGGGCGTGTAGCGCCATCCGAAATTAATTGAACCGATTAAGCGATAGCATTCGATTAGACGAGGAAGTTACTCGCCTTGGCAAATGACTTAGCGTCGTGTTTAGGGTTCTTCAAGCTTTTCTTTCACCATGTAATTAATACTTAAATGGGGTTTTTTTCAATACAATGCCCGAAATATAGATAAAATATCAATTCGGGCTGAAAGATTTTTTTTTCTCAATTCGGGACCTGAATGTTATAAAATTATCAAATTAAGTCCTACAATTCGGGACCTGACTGTTATAATTGTAGGACTTAATTTAATAGTTTTATAACATTCAGGTCCCGAATTGAGAAAAACAATCTTTCAAGCCCCGAATTGATAGTTTAGCTATCTTTCGGGCCTTGTATTGAAAAAACCCCAACTTAAACTGAATGAAAGGTTAAAAGAAAATATTTAAAATTGAATGAAAGGTTAAAGAATTCTAAAAAAAAAAAAAAAAAAAAAACTTTACTTAAATTTGTGGATACTTAGTTTTATTCTGTCTTATAACTAACACTAGTACAATGCCCATGTATTACACGTGTGCTTGCTAATTTTTTCTTAAAATCTAAAATTAATGAGAAAAGATAATTAAAAATTTAAATACCTTTTATAAAAAAATATATTATTATATATTTAGTATGACACTTTTTTATTTGTGCGACTTACTTGTGTTATATTATAATAATTTTTTAACTTACAATATATAACTACATTAAACATAAATATATCAATTGAGAAATAATTTTATTTTTCTAATGAATTTTAATAAAAAAATTTTATATTATAAAGATAAATATAAATTATTTATTTCATATATACAATATGGATGTCAAATCGAAGATCATCAAAAGATGATTAATTTGATATATTTATATATGTAAAATCGATAAGAAATACACAAGTTAACAACTTTTAAAATACATTTACAATTAAATAACTGATTGAAGGAAACAAATCAAAAGTCAGTGATATATTAGTCACTTAAAATATCTAAAGGGTTATATTACAAATAATTAAAGGGTTATATTAATACAAGTGTATTAAAATATCTAAGTTTGCTATTTAATATTTATGGAATGTTCGAACCTAGATTATTAATTATTAATATATCAATATTATTTGTCCAAACCTAATTACGAAGCATGATTCTTTGCCAAGTAGGATTCCGAAGCACCAGAAGCAGTCATGTAGGCTCAACGCATTCGGGAATAATATATAGGGAGGATGGTATGAAGATTAAATAAACATTACTTTAATACAAAACTACATTATATTTTGTTTGAATTTTAAATTTTTAATGTTAGTTGCACAAATTTAGTCTTAACAAAAAATTATAGTTAATTCTAAAGTTGATTTTAAAAGAATATATTTAGTATATATGATGTCGTATAGATGAGTGTCGGATTAAAAAAAAAACATATAAAAAAATAAAATATAACAAGGTGGTCATTCAAAAAAAACTAAAAAATAATTAGAAATTTCTGAATATCCGAACTGAACCAAACCAAAACGAATCGGTCTGACAGTCCCGAATACCAAACCGAACATAACTGAAAAATAAAAATCTCCAAACTAAACCAAATCGATTTTTTTGTACGGCTGGAGATTGAATTTTAGTGATCTCCGAATTTGGTATGGTTCCGGAGATTTATCAATCTCCGAACCGTACCTACCTATGCTCACCCCATTGAAATCAACATGCAATGCAACTTAATTATATTAAGGCTATGTTTGGTAAAACTTGTTGATCAGCTAACTATAAGCTAGCTTATATCTTATAAGTGAATTTTGGAGCTTATAGCTTATAGTTTACGATTTATAGATGAAAAGCTAACTTATATGATAAAAGTGTTTGGTAAAATTAGTTGATAAGTTATTAATCCCCCTTAAAAAATGCATGCAGGGTCGTCTCCAAAAATTTGGAGGCCCCAGACATTTTTTCAAGAAAGGCCCGTATTCGTTTTTTTTTTTAACTGAAAATACTAATAAACAATGTCAATAATAAACAAAAAACAATAAATATGAGAAAATTTAGTAAATTAGAATACATAAACTTACAACCTTCTCGACTTCTTTTGTACAAAATTATTAATCAAGTCACCATAATCAAGTTTTGCAACCAAATTTTTTTTCAATGGATAAAATAGCCAAACCATTCAATCTATCCTTAGACATAATCGAAGGTAATTTTTTATCAACTTCAGTTTAGAAAAACTTCTTTCAGCAGATGTAACAGTAACCGGGATGGTCAACAATATTCTGTAAGCTATCCAGGGATTGGGAAAACCGTGATACAAACTTTTTATATACTCCAAGACTTCAATTGGTTTAGTTAATCCATTTGGTAATGCTTCTCTCAGTAATTACAACTTCGAGAATAGTTCAAGTGCATCATATCAGAACTAACTTCATGTTTCAAAAAGTTCTCAAGTTCAACACCTGTAATGAATTTCAAGTTCCTGAAATGAGGATGCACGAATGCTTCAAACTTTCAACATCCATGTTTTTCAACTTGGCCAAGTTGAATAGAAATCCAAAAATCTCTTCGTACTTTTGAAACTGCACAAACCTTAGTTGGAGAGAAGAAAGAGAATTATCAACAATTTGAAGAAAATAATTTACTCGAAAATAGTCTTCGGCCCCTTGAATTGGTTCATCTCCATCATTTTCATCAAAAAACTTGCTTTTGCGACGAATCCGAATTTCACGAAAGGCGGGTTCCACATCCATCTCCGATGCAATCTTTTGAGCTTCAACTTTTGCAGTTTCAAAGTTGCAGTTTCTGTATTCCTCCAAAAAAAGAATCAAGCCTTGTAAAAGACTTATACTCTCACCAATGACCATATCATTTCTTTGGAAAGCTTAGCTAATTGAATTCACTTTATGCAATATATCAAACCAGATGACGATCCCCACAAGAAAATCAAAACTTTGAAGTTCATAGTCCACTAAAGATCTAGCATCACTAGCCGTTGTTGCGTCGCCGATGTGTTCCACTAGATGCAGTAATGCATCTCTAATTTGAGGTGTCTGGAATCTTACAGCCTTGACGCTATCAACACAACTCTCCCAGCGCGTATCCGACCATGACTTTAGGCCTCTTCATTTACGATCTTTTACAAAGGATTTCAAAACATCCCACCTCTTTGTTGAAGTAGAAACAAACTTATAAATTCGTTGTATCACTCCAAAAAATGACTTTGCCTGAACCGAGCTCATCGCCATATCACAAAGAGTCGGATTAAGAGAATGACAACCACATGGAGT